CGATGCACTTGTTTCTAATAGCTTCTTGTTACTACTAGTAAGGCACTAGACCTGCTTCGACCTCAGACCCGCCAAAAATGGCCGATCGAATCACCGGCATGTCGCGAGGACCTTTGGCGTCACCATTCCCACTGCCAGGGAACTGGTCGAGTGGACGCAGAACCGTCTCAAGGCGCGTCTCTGCCGGCGCTTCTGTTCGGTTGCAGTGGTCTTCTGCCGGGTTGGCCAAGAAGAATGAGTGACGGTTTCAACGAAGAAGTTGAAATGCAATTTGCCATCATTGCAACTCCCAGACTCCTGTTAAATCGCCCTGGTAAACTGCTGACGCTTGGTATTTGGACCGACTGCCGTCTATTCAACGACGAGCGCAGGAGTTGCTGGAGACGGAAGCTCTTGACAAAGACGCCGACATCCCTCGGGACTGGCCAGCGTTCTCAGGGCGTTTGGAGAGAACCAACACCTAAGCCCTAAGCCGACAAACAACCAAAACACCTATAAAGCAATACCAAACCAACCAACACCAAGTTACTTGAGGCTGAGACGTTTGATCAATGTTTCCTTCAATCCACTCTACTGTCGCACAAAAACGTCGACAGCATCCGCGGCACCGGCCCTAAGGCAGCTGATGATGCGCCATAGTTTTTTCCGAAACAACCGCAGTCCCGTGGCGGTGCGGGGAGAGGCGACGTCGACCTGGGGAAAGTCGGCCTGGGGAAAGTCGGCACAAGGTCCTTCCACAGGGTTCTTTCGAAAATGGAAGGTGGCAGAAAAGAAAGCACATGAACCTCCTTGGCCCTTGCCTTTCAGGATTCCCTTTGATAGGTGGACTCCAAATGTGAGAATCCTTTTCATCCTTTGCGTCCTCTTGATTCCTGGCAGGCAGGGCATATGCCGACCACCAACAACAATCGCGTGCTGCAGCTCGACAGCACTAACATTTCCACATGTAAGGTGTGAATCCACGAAGGGTTGACCTTAAGTTCATCATCGCATATGGTTGCCCCCTTTTTCAGACATCATCCTTTCCAGGCCTCGTATGTTCGCCTGATATAGAGGCTCCATGTTCACCTCGTCGCGTGCCGTCGCGTGCGCGATCGTATGTCCCAAGAATCTGACACAGCTCGCTCCACTCGATGACCGCTTCGACTCAGGTGGGATGCCATCAATCAAGGTGCATCACTCCGACCCGGCCGAACGCCAGCAAGAGCCATCGAACTCAGCCAGCAAGAGCCATCGGTTTCTGAGAAATCTCGGCGTGAGTCCGAAATCGCGCGTTTCCTTTTAGATTCCCCTAAAGAGTGCCGTCGTGTGAAAAAGAACGCAATTCCGTTGCCGGCGACATGCTTGTTTTCTTGCCTCAAAAGTCTGTTGTTTTGCAGAGAAAAGTCTATAGACTTTGCACTTGAACCAACGCATCGCCTTCATCCACCTGATTCAAGTGACAGGATCTGATTTTGTGACGGACGTCCCCTACCACCGTTGGGACCACGAGCTCTACTACGACGCAGATCCCAACTGCTGGATGCAGGCCGGTCGAAATCGGTACTTCGCAGCAAGATTGGAAGAGAGAAAGCGCGATCTTGGAATTCTACAGCGTAGTTAAGACATGTTTCTGATTTGCCAATGATAGCGACATTCCAGCGTAGTTAAAGAGAAAGACTAGACATTCAAGAGTTCAATCTCTCATGTGCAGTGACCGGTGGGGCATTGACCGAACACCTCTCTACCAACCGAGGCCTCGTGCTTCCGTCCCGGTGGCATGATCAGGTGGGCACCTGAGCGGATCAGGTCGAAAGCCGAAGGAGACGAACACCATCTGGTGTCCAAGGCTGCGGTTTAAGAGGAAATGTCCCTCAAAACATGTCCTTTGTTGATGAGCATGAAGCTGATGGAGCATCCGGAATGGCCATGGGATTCCAGCTTTTTCTTCAGGACGATCCACCATCGCACAACCAGTGCGGCTAAACGCTAAGGACAAACATCAAGCACGGTCAGTTCATTGAAGGCGCTCTTGACGAAACGTCGCTGTGAGAGTTGAAACACAGTGTGCCATGCGTAGACACTGGGTTCGTTCTTTGACTTTAGAATACATCAGAGCTCGATGTGAAAGCATGTGCAAGAAGCGGCAAGTGCTTATAGAAGAATGAACTTGTTCAGTGTTGCACTGTGCAGTTGCAGATAGAATCTTGAAGGTTTCTGGCGAGAGCTTGGGTCCTGCCGAAAATGGAGATTCAGCTGCATGATTCATGCTTCGAGCAGCACGCTTCGTGCACAGGTGTAGATCTTTTCGACAATAAATTCTTCGGTGTGCCTGGAAGCTCAGACGTGAAGGAAAACAACTTCGAACGAGGATGTGTCCAAGTGCTTCAGCAGCTCAAAGGGTCTGGAAACACACTCCCATTTTTTTTTGCATGGCTGCATTGGCTGTATGGATTGTCAAATTGGAAGCATGACTTACCGGGGAAAGTTTTCTCAATTTTTCTCATATTGTGAGGCTTACCATAAAGTTAGTACCTGTGCATTTCGCACACACACACACACAAACAGAGGGTGATCCTGAACGTTGAGGTCCAACATGGAAGCTACGGGCATGGACCCAATGCAGAGACATATTTTAGAGACCAGCTATGAGGCCTGAAAGCACGGGTGTTTGCTTGTCGGTCTACAGGTTCACTGGTTGACCGCTGGTTCTTTTGGTGGGTTTGCTTTGACTTCTGGTGTCTTGCAGGCTCTTTTCATGGCTGGCTACAACAAAAAGGCAGCGACCATGCTGTTCTTGTCGGCAGAGCGCTTGAATACTGTCAAGATCTAAATGACGAGGGAGTCCGCGTTGAACACCATGAAAACCCAAAAAAAACCAAAACCAAATAAATAAACTGAGCTCTAATTAGTTTGTTCCATTCGAAGAAGAAATCCTTTTTCACGCCGACTCCGACTCCGACTCACCCCATCCACTCCGACTCCGACGACTGCTCCTCTTCGCGCCGCCAGTCACTGATGGGAAAGTACATCGCCGTCTTCAGCGGCTGCCGGGGGCACCGGAGCCGTCGACCGTCGCCACGGAAATGATCTCGGTGCCATGGTTTGGAGCAAAGACTAACAGCATGCTATATAAACACTTAAGGGGTATCGGGTATCATCCATTGGCATGAACTGGCCACTTGCTGAGGCACGAATCCTGAGTGGAATTACATTGACAAGGAGGCCAGCGGCCTGAGGAAACCAACTTGGCATCGTTGGGTGACAGCTCATGAGTCCAGCATCCCTGGTCCCTCCAAGTCTGGAAGTTTGGAAGAGGTGTTCTTATGCCCAACTGCGACAGAAAGCTAATAGAGCATATCCAGTTGTTCAGTATCCAATACTTATTGTAACAGTTGTTCAGTATCCACTTATTGTAACGTTCTCTCAGCAGATCATCACCATGTCGAGTCAATCCGAGACTAGACAATGGCGAAGCAGAGGACCGCACGGAGCGGAGTGGACTGCTAGGCCGGTGCATGCTCCAGAACAGGAAGCTCGCAGGCGCGACATGACCATTCCGAATTGCAGGGTCTACATTGACAAGTCTAAAATTGTAAAGTCGCACGATTAGAGAATTTGTTTGCTTTTTGGATCTGTTTTTGTTGATTGGTGTGTTCTTTCGGCATGTGGATGTGGCTGGATATGGATGTCTCCGCCTGGCGCTGAGGCCATCACCTCCAACCGGACCTCCTTTTTGTTGGGCATCATGGGCCACTTGGACGGAGCGAGAGGAAGATCGGTGTGGCACGTTTTAGAATGGGGGTTGACTGGGGAGGGTGGAGATGAATGATGAAAAACTGAAAACTCGTTGAATGGTTATTGATGGTTCTTGGTTCGTTGTCTTAGTTGGCAGTATTCAATAATAGACGACTGCCTAACTTTCCACAGATGGTTATTGGTTATTAGTTTTCAGGGGATCCTTTTAAGACGGCGATGCGAAACCCCCACGCCGCGCCGTGTTGCGCGCCGTCGAAGCAGACGCATTGATTCGCGAGGCCCATCGACGTCCATCGACTGTGACCAGAGCTCGGCGGTCGCTCGCTGAGAGTCGAGTGGCTGGACCCTTTTTGAGACCAGTCGAAGGTTCCGAAAATGCTAGAAGAATTGGGAATTATGCAGTTTAAGGAACAGAAGCTCCTTTTATATTAAGTACCACCTATATAGGGACCACCTCTACAGACAACCTCCACCCGTTGACGACCGAGGCCATGGCGCTGATGCTGGGCGGCACCGCAGTGACGCCGGCCACGGAGCGACGGACCAGCAGCGGCGGCGACAGCGAGGTGAGCGACAGACCACTGCGATTTCACCTGTTTGGATGGTGTTTAGGGTCAGGAAGCTAGTAGTAACAGGAAGCTAGTAGTAACAGGTGCCACGCTAGTAGTAACAGGTGCCTTACTAGTAGGAACAAGAAGC